GTAGTATCCTGTTAATCCCAAGAAGCCTCGTAACTCCTTAACATTTTGAGGTCGGGGCCAATTTGTCATGCTTGAGTTCTTTTCCGGGTCTGCTGCTACCCTGCCGTTCTCGACCACGTGCCCCAAATAATGTACTTGTGTTTGTCCAAATGCGCACTTTGACTCCTTTGCAAGGAGCTTATGAGTCCTTAACAATTCCAAGGTGATTTGTAGATGTATTAGGTGCTCGTCCCATGTAGCGCTATATGCAAGTATGTCATCAAAAAATACAAGTATAAATTTGCGCAAATGGGGTCAAAATATGTCATTCATAAGGTCCTGGAATGTAGCTGGCACATTGGTCAGCCCAAACGGCATAACCAAGAATTCATAATGCCCTTCGTGTGTACGAAAGGCAGTCTTGTGGATGTCTCCTTCATGGACCCGAATTTGATGATATCCCGATCTCAAGTCTAGTTTAGAGAATATGGTGGCCCTGCCAAGTTCATCCAATAGTTCATCGATTACTGGTATCGAGAACCCGATCCTTCACAGTGATACTATTCAGGGCCCTATAGTCTATGCAAAACCGCCACGTCCCATCCTTCTTTTTCACAAGTAATACTGGCGAGGAAATGGCCTTTGGCTGGGTTGTATGATTTTTCTATCAAGCATCTCTTGCACTTGCCTCTCAATTTCCAGTTTCTGAAAATAGGGGTAACGATAGGGCCTTACATTTGTAGGTGCAGCCCCAGGCAACAAGGGGATGTGATGGTCATGGGCACGCTTTGGTGGTAGTTCCTTAGGTTCTTGGAAGATCACGAAGAACTTATGAAGGAGCTGCTGTAGTTGTGTGCGGCCCTCTTCGGATCTGCTTTCTTGGGCTAGAATGGGGCCATTTGTGTGGGAATCTATCTACAATAAAACGATGTGGGTTGGGTCTGCTGCTTGCTTCGTTAGGGAGGCGAGGCTGATAGGTCCTGGGCCCTTAGATCGTTGCCCTTGAATATGTACCTGTGAGTTGCCCATTCGGAAATCCATGGTGAGGCGGGCCCAATCACATATCACCGGGACTCCAAGAACGACATCTGCTCCACTGATTTCCAAGGGGTGTAGATCCACCTTGAACTCATGTCCTTGTATCCTTATCTTTAATTTTGTGCACATACTGTCACATACCAGGTTGCACCCATTAACTACATGCACCCGAAAGGCTGCACATGGTTGGACTAGAACCCCTAGTTGCCTGCCCAAGGTTTGGGTGATGAAATTGAGGGTGCTGCCACTGTCTATCAAAACCGATACATAGCGCTGCTGTATCAGTCCGGTTACTCTCATCATTTGAGAAGAAGCAAGACCGGTCAAGGCTTGCAGGGATACTTCCAGGTATTCCTTTGTCCCTGGTACCCATTCTTGGTCATCCCTTGGCTCCT